CACAGCCCTGCCTCTCAATACCACCGTCTCTCATTTGCATCTCTATTATTTGTGTACTTGTGTGTATTTCTCTGTTTCTCTGGCAGTGACTTAGTGACTTTTGCTGTGTGTCTGTGTACTCCATTCTTTGGTTCTTGCTGCCAGGAAGTGATATTTCAACTTGAGGTCTAGCATTCTGTTTGTGGACTTTGACAAAAAGCCTTGTAAACGTGGGTGTCATCCTGTTAAATGACTTTCAGTTTCTACTTTAATTCTCTTGGCCAGCACTGGAAATGGATTTGGCTGTTGGTTTTTGTCCCCCCCCCCCCCCCCTTAGTCCTAAAGTTGCTAATTATAGCAGAAGAGCTAGTTAAGTGCCTTTTAGCACTGCCTGAGCGGGAGCACCTGAATGCTAACTTTTAACAAGATACTTTTGGCAAAAAAACTCAGTTAATTAAATCATCACTTTTTGTTGTTTACCCATTTTTCTCAACCTTGTCAAAAGAAAGGTGTTTGTTGGAATTATTTCCAGGCTGGTCATTTGTTTTCATTTGTCTCTAGGTGAACTTGGACATCAGAATAAACAGTATTAGTTTTTAGTGTGCCCTGAGAATCTGCTTTAATGAATGATTAATGACTTCTTGTGTTTATGATATGGTGGCATCCTTGGTCAGTGATGCCAGAAAAAATTCCAAAATAGCAGCAGGTATGACAACTTTGTTTCCTAGAGATCTCAGATCAAAATATAATTAACAAATTTCTTTCTTAGCATTATTTTATGTATTTTAATGCCAAGTATAGTATTTGAAACACTTATAATCAATAGTTTGAAAATTGTTAAGCCCTGTTCTTTCTTAGCAATAAATTCAAAAAATTAAGCATACCAATAACTTTTTAAAATCCATCTTATATTTAACTATTTTATTTTGGGACTTAGGGATACTTAACATTTTCATGATTTTTAGGGATCTCAGCTTTGAGTTTAATAGTCTATGATAACTTATAATGGAGTGGTAATAATGCTAGCATAAATACTTTATTTAAAATGTGGGCAATATCTGTGTGATGACTTCTAATAATTATGTGCTTTCTTCAAGTAAAAGTAGTTCAGTACTCTTTTGAGGATGGTAGGGTTAATGGAAGTGCACTATAAGTTCAAATTGGGAGGAGCCAAATTTTTATAGTTAGGGTGTGTGTGTGTGTGTGTGTGTGTGTGTGTATGCATGAGTGCTGTGTTACTAGGTTCTTGTTCCTTCATAGACTGTTTACAAAATAATGAGCAATCCTTTTCAGTGTTCATGAATCTCAGCGTTACACACCTGTACTGCGTTTAGTACACATAATAAGCAGTCATTTGACAGTGTTCATTATCTCCAGTGTTACACACCTGTTCCATGTTACATTACATAGTGAGCAATCCTTTGACAGTGTTCATGAATCTCCAGTGTTATACACCTGTTCCATGTTACAATACATAGCGAGCAATCCTTTGACAGTGTTCATGAATCTCCAGTGATACACACTTGTACCATGTTTAGTACACATAATAAGCAATTCTTTGAGAGTGTTCATGAATATCTAGTGTTATACACCTGTATCATGTTTAGAGCACAGAGATTGCATTTGATTACTCGGGACTCCTCCACAAATAGTTGTCAACATTGGTTTCCAAAGTAGAGAATTTTGCAGTTGCTGTATAGTATGTAATCATTTTTACATGACCAGCATAATAAGAATGAATAGATGAATTTATTCATTTTTCTTCTTATAAATTTTCTGATAGTGTTATATTATTTGTAGGACAGAATGATTCAGAAATAGGCAATGGCAAAGTTAACTAAAGGAAATAAAAATAATTGAAATAGGGTCTTACTCAATTAGTCGAAGCTGCGCTGAATTTACTCTGTAGTCCAAGAAGTCCAGTCTTTGGGTTTCATGCCCAGATACTTGCCCTTTATTGCATTTTACTGTAGGAGATAACTGATGTTCATACCTTTCAAAGCATAATGTAACCCACAGCCAGAAATTGCTTACTCTGAAGGAGAAACAAAACTTTGCATTTATTTTAAACATTATAATTAGTTAAAGAATAAGTTAAGATTATTTTTAATTTGAAAAAGAGAACATGAATATGAGAGGAGTGTTAGGGGTCGATCTGGCAGAAGTTAGGAATGAGAGATGAATGTCAAAAACACTATATTCATATATGATATAAATTTTTAAATATTTGAATGATATTTTGACTAACATTGATTTAAAATTAGTTTTTTTCTTCTTTTTTTTTTTTTTTATTTTTCGAGACACCGTTTCTCCGTAGCTTTTGGTTCCTGTCCTGGAACTAGCTCTTGTAGACCAGGCTGGCCTCGAACTCACAGAGATCCGCCTGCCTCTGCCTCCCGAGTTCTGGGATTAAAGGCGTGCGCCACCACCGCCTGGCCCTTTTTTGTTTTTTTTTAAGACATGATATATAGGGCCACCTTGTTCTTGTTTCTGCATTAGTACTTTTGTAGATTGTTTTATTCAAGCCAAAGTGTGCACACATTCCCTATACACTTGATATTTTAAAAGTCTCCCATGATGAAAACCTTTCTTCTGTAAAAACCCACTGACAGCTGTAGTACAAAGAGGATGCCGTCCCCTTTGGGGATCTGTGTGTTGTTTACAGTGTCTTCTGTTGCTTACAGTTAAAGTACACTTAGTTCTTCTCTTGCTTTATATCATCACTAGGTAATGTTGTACAGATGACCTTTAACTTTATATAATCACTAGGTAATGTTGTACAGATGACCTTTAACTTTATATCATCACTAGGTAATGTTGTACAGATGACCTTTAACTTTCAGTTTCTTTACACTCAGAAAAGCTTCAAAACGTACATGTTCAATTTTTTTTCCAATTTTTATAGTCTTCATGTCAATAATTTTTTTAAAGTTTACCCTTGTTACATGGTCTCGTCTTTTATTATATGAAAAATTTTAAATGCTCTTGACCATATGATTCAAAGCCTAAAATAAATAATTAAATCAGATATAGCAATCACAAATAATTTAGACCAACTGAATTTCTGCTCTTTTCCAGTACATTTTTGTTTAATGTTTCTTAAATTGTTTAATTCAAGAAAATGAGTCCCTTTCCAATGGGTATACTCATTGAAATAAAGGAAATTCTTTTGTTTATCTGATACTATTTTAGTTTTTTTAAGATCTCATAAAAGATGCGATAAAACAAAGGATTAGTGAATATTATGAGCAGTTTAGGCTTAAAAATAGTGATGTGTCTATATATATTTTGTGGTTAGTAATGTAATACTTTATCCTCTAAAATATGTTTATAATCTCAAATCTATACTATTTCTTTTAGCTTCTTTTTTTTTTGGTGTGACAGAGTTAATTTCAGCTCACAGTTGAGGATACAGCCTGCTGTAGTGGAGCACCGCCACAGTCGCTGGAGAGACTGGCTGAGCTCTAGCCACACGCACTGGTAGAAAACAGTGCACACATCTGTGCTGTGCTTTCTGGTCCACTCTTTTACTACCCAATAATTAACTTATTCATGATTATCGTCATAGGCATATCTTCAGGTCAACCTGATTTAGACAGTCATTGAAACTGTCTTCCTCAGTCCTTCTGGATTGTGTTGCGTTGACAGTTAAAAAGCAACCATTACAGCACTGATTTTCTTCAGTTATTAGATGAGTATAAATGTCATTCAACATCTAAGATTCATATTTTAACCTTTTTGTCATTGTGTCCATGATTTTAAACTGTCTTCTAATCATATGTTCTGTACGAACATTTAAATCAGGAAACTCTTATGTAGAAGAGTTTACCTTTTGGTGTTATATATCCAAATGACAATAAATTAAAGGAAATTACTGAAGTTATTAGTTGCCATATAGGTTATAGGCCTGGATTTCTGTATTAATAACTTCTATTTAGATTATTTTGTTTGATTTTTTTTGTTTGTTTGTTTGTTTTTCGAGACAGGGTTTCTCTGTGGCTTTAGAGCCTGTCCTGGAACTAGCTCTGTAGACCAGGCTGGTCTCGAACTCACAGAGATCCGCCTGCCTCTGCCTCCCGAGTGCTGGGATTAAAGGCGTGCGCCACCACCGATTTTTATATTGTATGATATGTCTCAAAATTCTCAACCTGAGAAATGAAACATTTTCAAAATATTTACATTAAATACATAAACTACTAGAAAGTAATGATCTAGGAGCAAAAAATTGGAAATAAATCCCAAACAAGTGACTTTTTGATGCTAATGATATCAATATATGTTTATATAAATATATAGATAATTAGTACATGTGTTCATTTGAGTTACATAACTAACACTTGCATTTAGTGCTTTATTCTGGTTACTTCCTAAAATCGTTGTAAGATTCTTAATTTTTATGAAAGTATTGTATTCTTTTATGTTGTATTCATTTAGTAGTATTATTATTAGCAAGTCATAATCTTTACATAAGAAGGCAATTCCTTTGTAGTTTCTCTAGATTATCAGTTTCTCAAAATTCTTTTAATATCACCTGGGTATTTAATCATTTAACTTTTAACTATTACCAATACTCGATATTTCTTCAGTAGCACCTTATATATGAATTATTCCAATTGTTATATACAAATATATCCTTTTATTTTAGTAGTACATGAGTTAAAAATCATAATGTGTAGCATGTTCCTTTACTCTGAGCAGAGGAATGTACACTTAGGCTTTTATAAGTGGATGGTGTGGCATATCCAAGAGTAGGTATTGCTTTCTTTTCTAATACAAAATTAGAGACATTATTTTTAGGCTATTATTAGCTGATTCATATCATAAATGCAATAAGAAACTAAGGAGTGACCCAATTTTGTGCTGTATGTTGACTGTAGTGTATGTGGTAAGTACACTTTCTGTTTTAAACTCATACATTTATTCCCCTCAGAAGAAACTATGTTTAAAACTGTTTAATTGTTCATTTTCAACACTATTCCAAAACTGAACGTTTTCCTTTTATTTCTTTTTGTTCTTTTTAGTTTAGACTTGTTTCCTTCAACCTAGACAAAGTTCAAAACTCAACTGAAGTCATTAGAGAACTCATTTGTTACTGCTTGGACACTATTGCAGCAAAACAAGCCAAAAACGAGCACCTGCAGAAGGAAAACGAAAGACTCCTGCGAGATTGGAATGATGTTCAAGGCCGGTATGTAAACAGTGTGCTTGCATCAGGAAAACACTGAGCTCTTTCATTCCTGTAGACGTAAGCTAATGATATATAAATTTACAACATATGTAGAACAGGCATTTTATAAAATCCCTCCCTAATTATTCCTTTACTCAATTTTATTCAACCACGTTATTAGTGTCTGTTTTGTACAGCAGGCGAGTATAAACCATTTCAGCTCTCTTGTTGCTTGGTAGAGTCAACAAACAAGAAAGTAAGAGGTGACTTCAGATCAAGTATCACAGGCCATTATTATACTGTTAAAAATTAGTAGCCAGAGTGTGTTGCCTGCTGACAGTCTGTGTGTTAAGCATACACATGGCCTGACCTAGTCCTCAGCACTTGCAAAGAATAGGGATATTTATAAGGAAAGGATTAAAGTAGCTTAATTTATAGGATTAATAATTAACAAAGGAGATATGAAATATAAATAAGTAGAGTTGACTTTTTGTTTGGAGTTGGTGAATAATAACTATTTCAAATGATGTGTGTCTTGGCCCCACTAGAGACATTTCCCCTGACTGAAAATTCATGCTACAATCATTTTTAAAAAATGACATAATTGTTGCTACTGAATAAGACATTGAAAAGGTTTTCATTTTCCTGGATTTGCCTCTTGTATTTTTTTTTTTTTTTTTTTTTTTTTTTGGTTTTTTCGAGACAGGGTTTCTCTGTGGCTTTGGAGCCTGTCCTGGAACTAGCTCTGTAGACCAGGCTGGTCTCGAACTCACAGAGATCCGCCTGTCTCTGCCTCCCGAGTGCTGGGATTAAAGGCGTGCGCCACCATCGCCCGGCTGCCTCTTGTATTTTGTTAATGTTGAATAAGAATGATAGATTTCTTTCCAATTACTACTTTTTCATTTAAATCATGTTTTCTCATCCAGTATATAATTTGTATTATTCTGTCTCACAAAAGGTGTTTGAACTGCATTATGAATACTTATATGTTCACAGAGACTAATGTAATATGTATATGTTTGTATGTACAACAGTGCTTGGAGTAATTGAAATATATATATATATATATGTATAGTAGATTTTAAACATGTCTCATTCAAGGTCAAGGTATAATAACAATCATCCTATTTTAAAGAAACCTGTGAACTTTTAGGATAACTATTGTGTTTGCTGTATATGGACTTGAAGAGTCCTTGAGGAAGTACATATTAAAGAGTTTGATGGTTTTCATCATATGTATATGAGAATGAGCATAATTAAAAGAAGTTATTTACAGTAAATAAAATGAATTAAGGTAGCTTATGTAAAATTGAATAACTAATTCCCAGTTATTGTAAACGGAGACTGCTCATTTATTTCCTGGCTGCCCAGACCTGAATAATCACACAGAAACTATATTAATTGCAACTGTTTGGCCTATTAGCACAGGTTTCTTATTAAAGAACTCTTACATATTAAATTAAGCCGTTTCTATTAATCTCTGTATTACCATGAGGTTGTGGCCTACTGGTAAGGTTCCGGCAGCTGCATCCTTTTTCTTTGGCTGCTACACGGTGTCTCTCTGACTCCCCCTACTCTCTCTATATATCTTTATTTGGATTTTCGACCCGACTTTACTCTGCTAAGTCATTGACTAAAACAGCTTTGTTCATTATCCAAGAAAGCAATACATATACAGAAGTACATCCTGTATCATCTCCCCTTTTTGTTTAAATATAAAAGAAAGTTTCAACTTTAGCACCATAAAATTTTATAGAACAAAACAGATATCAAGCAGAATTACAGTTACAATATTTCATTGTAATTAAAAAAATTATATCTAATTTATCTTTTATCAGAACTAAGGAAAACTGTAATTATAATTCTCTCTCTTTAACTCCATCAAATACTCCAGAAGGAAATAAAATTACCTAGGTGTGCATTCTAGGTAACTTCTAAAACTCTAGAATAGACAGAAACATCTTGCTGTCTGGACAGTCACCTGAAGTTCTTCTGTATGTTGGAGCATCCATTTTCAGCTTACAGGACAGTAGTATCCAGCAGAATTTTTGCTGAAACAGGAAATTTGAAGGCTTGTTTTGACTGGCAAAGTTTATTAGTTGCTTTCATCTGTGTCCTGTAGAATATCTGACAGTTTCTTCTGTGAAGAAGGAACCATGAAGAACTATATTTATATGTGTATATTTATGTATATTATATTGCCTTTAATTGAAAACAAACATTTCCAGACAATCATTTTGAAAATTTAGCTGTTCTTTTCTCCAAACTACTTTCTGCTGTTTGTTGGGCCTAGTATTTTTCGGGCTCATGGAGACCCTTGGGAGGGATCTTGTTCCATCAAAACCACATTAGCCTTGAAGGAATCCACAGGTTTTCATGCTCTGTGTAAACAAAAGTTGAACCTCCTTTCTAATGGAACATATCCTTAGACTCAAATTTTGAAGTCAAGATAACTTTATGTTGATCTAGCTTAGCAGCCCCCCCCCAAATCAAATGTCTCTCTGTAGTTAGCTCTTTAGCAGTCAAAAAATTTAAAGAAAACACAATAATATATATAATCCAGATACTCTGTGTATATACCATCTTTTCATGGCTTATTTTGTTTACTCTATTTTTAATATTTATCTAATTATCTTTACTTCTTTAATCTATGACTGTTGGTACTCTTTTATATTATGCTAACTATCTCTTTAAAGATTTTGTTTTATTTTTAAATCCATTTACATCTTTTTATAACTGTCTATATTCTTTTTCCTCTATCCCAAGCCTACATGTATTTTTAAAATACACTGTGTCTTGTTTAGAGGCCTTTTATGTCTGAATCTGTCTTATTGTGTATCTATAATTCTTTTTTGACAAAGAGCATTGTCACTGGTAAGCAGTGTGGTCGTGGCAACCCTGGATGCTGACTGACTCTACTTCTCTTGGCCTTTGAGTGTGGCTGAGGTATGGAGGTACATTTACCACCTCTGTGAGCCATGCTCACTGCTCCAGCTCCAGCTCCAGGGATGCAACCTGTCTGTCTATGTTTCAATAAGCAAGCTGTACCACTGTGCTTACAAACCCCATTTAAGTTCAGGACCTCCCAAAAGACCCAGAGCCAACATCTTTTAAAGGAACTATGCAGTTTTTGCTGCTAATGATGATTCAGGAAGCCTTCTCTTAAAAGAACAGCACCTCTGCTAGCCACCAAGAAACAGAGCCTATGTGAAAAAAAAAAAAATGGGGCTACCAAGAAACTCCAATTGAATCCATTTTTGTGGGTCTAAGCGTGTTTTTTTTTTTTTAAAATAAACTTTTTTAGGTTTTATGTGGATGTATGTCGCCGAACGTTGGATGTCATTTTGTAAATGAAGACTGCTCATTTGTTTTCTGGCTGCTCGGACCTGAATAATTACACAAAACCTGTATTACTTGCAACCCTGTTTGGCCTTTTAGCTCAGGCTTCTTTTTAACTAACTAACTAACTCTTACATATTAAATTAACCCATTTCTATTAATCTGTCTATTGCCACGAGGCTGTGGCCTAGTTAAGATTCCACTGGTGGCATCTTTCTCCTTCGGCATGGCATCTGTCTGACTCCAACTACTCTCTCTATAAATCTGTGTTCTGATTTCCCACCTCTCTTTTTCTGCTAAGCCATTGGCTGAAATAGCTTTATTCATTATCCAATAAAAGCAACACATACTGAAGGACATCCTACATCAAGTTATATTTGACTTTCACATTTTTATATTAAAGGAATGCTTTTATTGTTGTTTCCTTCCAGCTCAAAATTATTTTTTTATATTCTGATATTTAACCTATTGTATAAATGAATGAAATCCAGTTTATATATTAGGAGACTATATAGAAAATCAGTTAATTCTTCTCTTTCATTTTTATTTTTTTATTTAATACGAATTTGTATCATATCTGTGCTTCAAAGCATTATTAGGATTAATAACCATAGTCTGATTGTATTTTTCTATTTTGTATAAAAATAAATTAAATGAAAGGAGATCAATTGTGGTTATGATATACCACTTTATTTTCATAATAAAACTCAAAATATCTTCAGTGACAGGGATTTTGAATCACAAATTGCCTACAGAAATGCAGACTGAGTACTCTGTACTTGAACCAATTGCTTTAAAATGTCTACTGGTAACTGTGTGATTGGCATTCAGCTCCAGGTGCCTGAGCTGCAAGCAGCAGGGAGTGAAGAAGAGCCTGAAGCCTGTGCAGTGAATGCAACTGTGAGCAGTTTGTACTTCTGTGGAACACAGGTCCTTGACTTGCTTTCTGGGGTTTTGCATGCCTGTCACTTGTCTTGTATGATTGCTCTAGCTAGCTCTTTTGCTGTCATTACTGGGTCAGATATCTTCTATTTGGCCTAACAATGTGTTGCCAATGGAGTGAGCCTACAAATTGAGGGAAAGGGATCCTCTTCAGAGAATTCTAGGCTCTTGTTTGTATAATTGCTATGAGATCAGTGAATTCACATATTTCCTGAATTTGTTTTCTTTCCTTTTGAGAAGACAAGTGCTAACTCTGAGGCTCTCAGTACACTGTGTCTCGTCACAGCAGCAGTTTCTCAGGGTTCTCTTCCTAGGAGCTAGAATTTCAGAACGTGAGAGTATTTAGCACACTGACTCCCCATGGCTGCAGTATTAGCTAGGGCATGGCTTTCAAGAGATTAGAAGCAGGACCCAAGTGTACTGAGTTCAGAAACTGGGGACCTAGAAAGTAGACCCTCATCAGACATTAGGCCCTGTTAGGAGTACCTGTCACAGTTCACTTATCAACATAACCTCTGATTGGGATGGTGTTCATTTGTGATGATATCATTTCTTCCCACACCACTGCACTTGTACTGCAGATAAAGGAAAGAAGGTGTTCGAAAGAAAGGCTCAAACAGGGCGACAGAAATTCCTACAAAAACTGTGGTAGATAGGTATGAAATGTATTGGGATTGAGTAGGCATTAATATGAGCAAACTCAATAATGTACTTGTATGCTTATTAATTCCTACACTGTTTATATTCTATTTCAGGAGGTTTGTATACTAACAAGTTGTTTACAAAATATAGTTATAAAGAGAAATTAAATGCTAAATAATATATCTTCAATTTTGAATATAGTTTTGAATTGAAATATGTATCAATATTTGCTCAAAAGCAGATATGAATTTCTTTTCTTCAGGATGACAGGAATAAACAAGACTTTATAGAGGAGTAAGGAATTACAGGATAATAGAAAGTATAAACTTCAATGCACAGGACTTAGCATCTTTTTCCTATTACTGTTTAATAATCATTCAATAAGTGTGCCCTTTGTTCCATTTTGAGTATGTTTTATTACAGGGTTAGTTTTTTTAGATTTTTTTAAATAAAAGGAAAACATTAGAAATTTGTACGTGAATCCTGAGGTTATTAGCTGTATTTATTTACTAGATTTTTTTTACTTAATTTCAAACAATAAGTCTCAAGTTTCATGTTACTGAATAAGTCTTTTGTTTGAAGTCAGAACTCAGTTTAGAAATTTTCGAGCTTTATTGTGAGTTATAGTTATTATAGCCATAATAGGAGGCAGTCTTCAGTGAACTGTGTTGACTGAATTAGCAAGCCTTGGAAACTCTTTCTCTTTGTCTTAATGCCTTCAAGGTAGAATCACATTATCTACAGATGAATTCAGTCTGATTTTTAAAGACCTCTGGGGATATCCTTCTGTCTCCATGGCAGCCCATTAGATTGTTTAAGAACAGTTACAGAAAATCTTCCCTTCAGAGAGCACAAGAAACAGCTGTAGCCTTCCTCTTCCTGGCCTGGGGCCATATTCAGTCTCTGGCATCATTCTCTTCAGCTCTCAGCCTTCTTCAGCCATCCTGTGCTACTCAGATTCTCTTTCATTTTCCAGCCTAGCACTGGTGGAATGTGGCTGGATGCACTGTTAATATAATGATCACTATACTGTTTCTGTACCATATGCTCACATGCATGTGCTCTTATTTGTTCTGAACTGTGAGTCTGTTATTTTATTTAGGATATTTTTGTATGAAATTTCTTTGTGTTTGCTCTTTTTTTTGGAATACTGTTTTTAGATCGCTTTACTACTCAGCAATGTTTTATTTTGAACCATTGATACATTTGTAATTAGTATTTCTTTATTTGTCTCCTTTTAAAATAACTTCCCAAGTCCCTGATTACTGAGGTTCACGATAAAGCTTAGCATTATTGACCTATGTCATGGTCACTTTCGGAAGGACAGATGTCATTGGACCTTTTCTGTTTGATGCTGCTTACAGCATCATCTCATTTGAGCCTGGCCTTAGAAAAGGTCCTTGACTAGCTGTAATCTTTTTCAGTGGTTTGTGGGTTTGTTTTATTGTCCCTAGGTAAGAAAGAAGTCTCATGTCTCTCCTTAATCAGTGGTCTCACCTTGTAGTAAAAAGGGCGGCGGAGCTGAGTCCCCAGCACCCTGGCCGCCTGCTCGGCTAGCTTATGCCCAAAATAACAACACACAAACTATTCATTTAAGCACTGCTTGGCCCATTCTCTTCTAGGCTAATTCTCACATATTAATTTAGCCCATTTCTAATCATCTGTGTATGGCACCCCAAGGTGCGCTTACCAGGAAGATTCTAGCCTATGTCCATCCTGGGTCGGAGCTTCATCCCGGGAGCGGGGCATGGCATCTCTCTCAGGCGTCTCCTCCCGAGAGGAAAGCGGTCAAGTCTCTGAGCTCACTTCCTCTTCCTCCCAGCATTTTGTTCTGTTTACTCCTCCCACCTATCCTCTAACCAATAAAATGGGCCAGGGCAGTGCCTTTATTAGCCAATGACCTTCCTCCATCATCACCTGATCAATCTTGCCCAATTTTTCAGATAGAAGTTTGGCAGGGAGCAAGTACTATGTAAGGCACAGCAAATTACAATGCTATAGAAGATTGGTTTTAAAGATAATTTAGGTCACAAGCTCTACATGTCTTAAGTCCCGAATACTGAATAAAAAGGTAATGTTCTCTGAGTCTACTGAGAAAATAAATTTGTATTCCGTGACTATTTATAATAATACCCTATGCTGTACAACTCAGCTGTTCCTGGGAGGTTTTGTCATAGTTCATGATCAGTTTACTGCAATAAAGGTGTACAAGCAGGGAAGGTTAACCTACATGAGGCACAACTTTTTTCCCTGTAACAGAAAGATACTACCTTTTACAATATAGTTGTGGTGTGGTTATTCAGGCTTATACTACTTTTATGAAAATTATTTAAATTTCACTTTGGTTCCTTTTTAAAATTTAATGTGTTATACAAATGATAGTTTTCAACTGGGCAGTAGTGGCACATGCCTTTAATCCTAGCACTTGGGAGGCAGAGGCAGACAGATTTCTGTGAGTTCAAGGCCAGCTTGCTTCAAAGTAACACAGAGAAACTCCATCTCAAAAAAACAAAAATAAATAAATAAAAAAACGATAGTTTTCATAAAGTTGTGGGATTACCTTGATAGCTGATATATGTGCATAGTTTTCAGTCAAGAACTTCAGGGAGGTTTATATGAAAGTCAAATATGAAATTAAGTCTTATAGATTCTGAATTTGTTGTTATTTCTAACTTTTGGGTAAGATATTGGAGTATGTATGAAATTTATTGCAGTATACTTATTTGTATATGTCTAAAATATTTTATTATTATTTGTACTGGGATAGTTTAGGTGTATGTATATATATATTCTATTCATTATTATATTTCTTATGGTGTTACATTAGAAAATATAATATGAAAACAAGAGATGTTCACATGACAACTAACATCTGAGATTATAGATATAACATACCTCTGCATGAAATGAACCATAAATATTGGCAATATTTTTTGAAACTTGAAAGGCTGAAAGGAAATAGACATTCCTAAGAGGAGTTACATACCATTGGGGTCTCTTATATCCAATGAGGCAAAATAAGTTTGCTAAGCCCTCTTTTGCCAGTGTGAAGTGTCTGAAGAAATACATGTCCTATCTTATGCTTTTAGGAAAAGTCTTAAGCCACTAGCAAGGACACAGTACTGCTGAACTATTCAGATTAGTCTCCTGGCTGGTAGACCAGTAGTATACAACTAGAAGGGCTCCAGAGTGACAGGGGCATCTCCAAGGAAGAGAACTTAAAGGTTTTGTTGCTCTCATACCAATCTAATGCCTGACTGGTTGGCATCTTGGAGGACAGGCTCAGAGAAGCTACAGAAGGGCATGTTGAAAAGGACAAGTACTCTTGGAGACATGTAAGAAATCATCGATTGAGCTGGGGAAAAAACTCTTCCTGTGAACTCACTTTATCTCCTCAGTGTATACTGATCATCTCGGCTAGGCACTGAGAATAAAGCAGTTGGTAGAACACACATGTTCTCTGTTCTCATGGAATGACAGCCTTAGTAAAATCCATGATAAAAGAATCTGCACTGATTAGTTCAAGAATAGTATTGTTAGATAGTCTTTTTTACCTTACAATACATTCTCTGTATTTATAAATAGATAGGTTGTGGGACCCATTAAGGGCCTATATGAAAAGTATCACATTTTGGCAATTTTATTTTTAATAATTTCATTGTATTATATGTGTATATATGTAAATATTTAATTAATATTAGGACATGTAGAGAACATATAAAATACATTTAGGAATATGTGGAATAAGCAGCGTTGTAAAGATAAAAATAGGCAAAACTCAACTATATTTAAAAGAATACTGTCAATGAAAGTATTTGTGTTTAAGTTTGTAAATAGAAATTTATTCATAACCTGCGTATGTACACAGCAGGTATATACCTTCTCCCTATAGCTTGCGTTTTTAAAGAAATGAAATCTCTTGAGCATTAAGGCAATCCAGTGAGTATTATAATTTATAATTATTAGACAATTTTGTTTCTTTTTTCTTACATATCTGAAACTGAAATATATGTACTTTTTTGACAAATTCATTATTTCTTTATTGTGTTCTTTGAAATATCAAGAGGCATAATTCAACTCATTACATTTGTGTTTCTATTTATATTTAGGTGTGCGCATGCATGTGTGGTGGGTTATAAAGACACAAGATCAATTATGGTCTTGTAGAACAAGTCTGTACCGATGTAAAATGAATGCAGGCAGATTGTAAAAAATATATACAGCTTTAAAGTAGAAATAGACTTACAGTACCATGGTTCCCGGGAGAAACAGGAAGCAGAAGAGGTGCGCGGGCTTCTGCGTGCCCCTGCGTGCCCGATTTATAAGTAAACATTCACCCGAGGCAAGCCCGCCCCCTAAGGGGCTGGCTTAACCCTACACAAGTCATAGTCTGAACATTGACAATAAATTAGGTGTATTGCTTTAATATAAAATATGTTAGGTGCTGCTATATAATAGTATTAATATACTAAGGAAACTGTATACTTATTTGAATTTCTCAAGAAAATATTATTTTGTAAATAAGCTACATATAGATAAATTATTATGTTTGGACACTTAGTTTAAAAATTTTTATTTCTATCCATTTTCATTATTCTTTGGTTTAGAACATTAATTACAAATATTAATAGTTATTAGTTTCCAATTTATTCAGTTCTCTTCTAGTACATTTAAGTTTTTGAAAGCATGTGTAAAAATGAACTTAGTTGTTTTTGCCTTCAAGTTTTCTTGAGATTGTGAGAATGAGATTGGATAAATTAATGATGTGGGATCTCCATGATTTATGATTTGTTCACTTGCTTGATTTTTTTAGATTTGAGAAATGTGTGAATGCCAAGGAAGTTTTGGAAGCTGAACTGTATCAAAGATTTATCTTGGTGCTGAATGAGAAGAAAACAAAGATCCGAAGCTTGCATAAATTGTTAAATGAAATCCAGCAGCTGGAAAAGAACATGAAACCTGAAAGGTACATCCGTGTGCTCTTAGACACAGGTGTAAATGTAAGGAGACTGGCTTTACAAACTGAGGGCAAGGTAGAGGCTAATTTTAATAATCCGGTTTGTTTTGTTTTATTGTAGTCTGGGTTTAGATATTCTATCGCAGGTGAATGCATTCTCTACAGAGTTTCTGTTGACATTCATGGTGTCCTTTAAAGTACAACATTCAGTCATGATCTATAAAACTGGCATCTTGGGGTAGTTTGAAAGAAAGTGGCCCCCAAAGGAGTGGCACTATTAGGATGTGTGACTTTGTTGGACTGGGTGGAGTAGGATGTGTGACTTTGCTGGAGAAAGTATGTCACTCTGGAGGTTGGCTTTGCAGGTTCATATATGTTCAAGCCATGCCCAGAGAGACAGTCCATTTCCTATTGCCTTCTGATCAAGATGTAGTCAGCATTGTGTCTTCCTGCATACCTCCAGTCCCCACCATAATGGTAATGGACTGAACCTCTGAAACTGTAAATGAGCCACCTCAGTTAAATGTCTTCCTTTCTAAGACTTGCCGTGCTCATAGTGTCTCTTCACAGCAATAAAATGCCTGACTCAGACTGGGTTTAATTTACTTATTTAATTCTTAGACTTTATGAACTAAGAAATATATCATTTAACAAAACTTTTCACCTCCTCCAAGGTTCAAGTTGGTTGAATGTCTGTAGTCTTTACATCTCGCAATGTTAACTTTAAATCCAGCTAATGAATGCTAAATTCCAGGGGGCACTTACGTTGTCTGATAAACGTATGTTATTATTTTTATTATTGTCAAGCTTTTTTTTCTGTCTAAAACAATCTATAAACTTGATTTCTAAGGAAAAAATTCATAGATTACAAGTGGCTAGTATAGATTTGGATAATTTTAAGTGTTTTTACTTATTAAGTCATATAGAAAAGATTCAGTTGCCTTGAATCTGAAATGAAGCATAGCTTTTGAATATCACAGTATAAAGAAGGTAGTGTTTAATTTCAGCCATTCCTAAGTCGGGTACTGGTCTGGCACTGAGGGCTACATGCCTATGGTCTGAACAGCTATATAAGCACGCTGTTCTTCATTTGGGGGGCAATTTAATGAAATGTGGAGCTGCTATCAGATTTTTACAATGCTAAACATTTGCTCACAGGGATAACTTGGTGGAATGTTTTGACAGAATAAAATGTGATAAAATAATTAATTACTAATAGTGGGCATTAAACAAGAGTTTACTAATTAAAATAAAACCTTTCTTTTTTGTGGTAGTTGTGAAATGATTTTATCTAAATCACATAACCCTCTCTATTTCTGTCTGATCAGAACCTTTTTTCAGGAATATTTTCTATTTGCTTATTGGTAAAGTAGATAGTTAGCCAGGGGTGAACTAATAATTTCCTATTCTGCTTTTCTGTGTTTCCAGGGAAACTGCATGTTCTGAAAAAGCAGCTGACCCAGATGCAATTTATGATGGAAGTACCGATGAAGAAAGTGGAGCTTCCATGCTGGCTGCAGGTGAGAGATCATCCTTATCTATGTAAAATGTCACTTGGGCTTACTACTATAATAACCAAAAACATTTATAAATAAGGTTTTATGAAAAACTGATCAAATGTTTTTTTGCCTAAAACTTTAAAAATCTAACATTAAAATTAATATTAACCATAGACTGTAGCAGTTAGCAATAGCAAGGCAAATCAAGCAAGCATACATACACTGGGGCTGTGTTTTCGTTGTTAACTGAGGACGCATACACGAGAGAAGGCAAGACCTTGTTAAGTATCAACAGCTCAGAACTGGCTGACTTTTATGTCAGAGTTTACAGAGCTAGGGCTCTGGGTAGAGTCTGGTGAATTTGAAGTCTTCCTCCTCATGAAAAAGCTTACTATCTTTTAAAAAGGGTAATAGAGAACAGAGATAAAAGATGTCTATGTGGGGCATTTTTCAGGCATTTTTTTTAAATCGTCCTTGATTTTTGCTTGTAAATTACGATTTCAGATTTTGTGATTTTTTTTTTTTGGTTTCTTTTTTGTTTGTGTGCGTGTCTGTGTGCATGTATTTCTGTGCTTCTTCTTCGTTTTCTTTTTGTTGTTCTAGTTTGTTTATTTGCCTGTCTGTTTACCAAAGAGAGACTAAAAGTTGCAGTTGAAGGGATGGACAGGTAAGGAAGATCTTGGTGGAGATGGAGAAGGAAAAACCTGATCAGAATATATCACATAAAATCATTTTCAATTAAGAAAATCAAAAAAAGGACAGAAACAGAAAGAGGGAGTGCCTCTTGGCTTTAATATCTAAGCTTTATTCAGTCCTGTGAATCAAGGTCCCAGCAGTTATTCAATCCTATGAGTTATTTTTTAGGGTTATATAGATTTTGGGGGATATAGAAATAGAGAATCTCTGAACTCATGTAACACTAGGAACGTTTGACTTAAACCTGATATAAGTCCATTCTTTAGAAAAGATGTATATTTTAAACTATAGTATTTTTGTTCTTCGAGATTTTCATGTAGGCATACAATGTGGTTTGATAGTATTGCATCTCTACTCCTTGCCCTAACTACTCCAAATCCATTCATTACTCCTCCCCCAACTTAATGTCTTCTGTTTGATCAGTTTTCATCATCCCACTGAGTCCAATTTGTTGTGTGTGTGTGTGTGTGTGTGTGTGTGTGTGTGTGTGTGTGCGCGCGCGTATATTTATAGTTATAGGTACCCAATGGTGCTTTGTCAACTTACTAGGGCCCATATACTTGAGGGAAACTGACTTGTTCCAGAAGCCATTGACCACAGCTCCTTGTCTAGGAGTGGGGTTCCTCCATAGTGGAGTATTGGCTGCCTGCTCTTGTATAGACAGTTGCAGCTGCTGTGAGTTCATTGAGCACAGTGGTCCTGTAATCCAGGAGACACTGGTCTGCTCCAGTCCTTCCCAACTTAAAGTCCTTCAGTACCATTTTTCTTAGGTGACCTGAGCATTTAAGGAAGGGGTTCTGATCTGTACAGCCCATATGTGACTATGACATCCACATTCACTTTATTCTCTGCACTCTGACCAGCTGTGGGATCCTCTGCAGAACATGTCAGTGAGATGGATGGGATAAGGTAGAACAGAAATTAAGGGAATCGGAGATGACACCAGGAACATAAAGAAATCTAAATTTCCAAAGAAAAGGAGGCATAAACTAGCAGCTGGAGGGAGAAGTGAAGAAAGGGGAGAGTTGTTTTTATTTAGAAGGAAATAGGTTTGTTTACTGATGGGGACAGATGAACTTGTGAATTGGTTTATTCAGGACTCTGAAGGTTTGCACAATGACAGTTAGTTGGGAAAATGAATGAACAAATCTCTAGAAAAGTCGTCAAGGTCAATTGTGATTGAGACATATTAAACTAGTTAATTGATAAATCAAATTTTATTTAGATCACATTATAACACTAATGCATTTTCGAACATGAGAATTTTTTAACATTTAGAGGAAATAATTCCTTTACATTTTCCCTATTTAGGCAATTTTTATAGTTTTAATTAATATGTAACTACTTCATTTTCCCCCTAACCTTTCTTCTTTCTACGACTTCCCAAGGTTCCTCCCTCTAACTTCTTTCATGCTGCCCCTCATTCTCAGATTGATAGCCTCTTTTTCCCCAGTTACTTTTGCATCTGTCTATTCATTGTGTGTATTGATATATATACACAAATATAAAGACACAACCATCTGAGTCTGTTTTTGTTATGTTTTCATAACTGTAGTAATAAGAGCGGTGGGGCTGCGTTCCCAGCACCCCAGCCGCCTGGCTAGCTTATGCCCCGAAATAACAACACACAAATTGTATTCATTTAAACACTGCTTGGCCCTTTAGCTCTAGCCCTTACTGGCTAATTCTGATATCCCGATCAACCCATCTCTAATAATCTGTGAGCACTGGTCTTACCGGGAAGATTCCATCCCAGGTCGGAGCTTCATTGTGTGTGTCTGCCCGGAAGTGGGGCATGGCGTCTCTTCTGAGGTGTCTGCTCCTGAGAGGAGAGCTGTCGAGTCTGAGCTCACTTCCTCTTCCTCCCGGCATTCTGTTCTGTTTTCCCACCCACCTGTGTTCTAACCTATGAGGGCCAGCCAAGCAGTTTCTTTATTTTTTTAACCAATGACCTTCCTCCATCATTTCCCCTTTTTCTGTCTAAACAAAAACAAAGGAAGGCTTTAACTTTAACATAGCATAATTACATATAACAAAACAGTTATCAAGGAAAAATTACAATAATCTTTATCATAACTAAGGAAAACTATAACTATAACTAACTATTCTTAACTCCATCAAAGACTCCAGAAAGATACAATATTACCTAAGCAAACAAGAAAAAAGCTACCCGCTTGAGTCCGGGGCAAAATAGCCCGACTTTGGACGCCAAAATGTAACGAATGCAGACAGATTGTAAAAATATATATATACAGCTTTAATGACGAAATAGACTTACAGAACCACCGTTCCTGCGGAGACCAGGAAAGCAGAAAAAGCGGCTGGGCGCAAGCTGGCCAAATTTATAGGCAAACATTAGCCCGAGGCGAACACGCCCCCTAAGGGGCGGGACTTATCCCTACACATAACTATTTCAGATGTAAGTAAAGTGCAAGAAAGAGAAAACCTATGCATTTTCCATTTTAACCTTTACAAAATTTTTAATAATTGCAGTGGACTTTGATTTTGTTCTTAAATCTAAATAACATATCTCACCAACACATGTAGAGGATGAAAATTATCAAAGAGAAATACATCATTAAATCTGTATACATGGGATTAGTGCCTTTTATGTGTTAAACTTATTCTTAGTAAAGCTTGAATATAATTGTACTAATTTAAATTTGGCAATATTTCCCTTTTAATTTTCTATTTTTCTTTTGTTTTATGTGTCATTTATATAACTCCCATCTAACTATATATTTATCATGTAAGCCTCTGGTTCTTTTCAAATTTTTAGCTCTTTGGTCTTAATAAGCATGAATCTCGAATCTGAAACTGTTGATGTTGAGCCACAAAGTTGATTCCACAGATCTGAGAAGAAACATTGTATGTAAGATAACAGAATGTACCTCTGTAGATGACAAGCTTCTAAAATGAGCTGTTTTTCAGCCTGTAATATAGCTTATTCCATGGTGCATGCCACAGTCATTTAGATTCAGGCCTCATGCTCTCAGTGCTATGACTGGGAGCTCAAATCTAAATTGACTCTTCTTCTTGAATGTCTAGCATTTTAGTGGAGAACCAAGCTTCCCTGCAACGTATAAAAATGTGTGTCTCTATCCCAATCCTCCTGTTTCCGCAAGTTCCCCCCCTCCTTCCCTTCTAACTTTTCTCTCCCCATCTCCTCTTACCCCCATCCCACCCCACCCCCAAGATCCCAATTTTCTCCCCAGCAATTTTGTCTACTTCCCATATCCAAGAGAATAACTATATGTTTTTCCTTGGGTTCACCTTATTTAGTTTCTTTAGGTTCACCAATTGTAGTCTCCGTGACCCTTATTTATGGCTAGAAACCAATTATGAGTGAGCACATCCCATGTTCATCTTTTTGGGTCTGGGATACCTCACTCAGGATAGTATTTTCTATTTCCATCCATTTGCATGCAAAATTTGAGAAGTCATTGTTTTTTACCGCAGCATAGTACTCTAATGTGTAGATATTCCATACTTTCTTCATCCATTCTTCCATTGAAGGGCATCTAGGTTGTTTCCAGGTTCTGGCTATTACAAATAATACTGCTATGAACATAGTTGAACAAATGCTTTTGTCATATGATAGATCATCTCTTGGGTATATTCCCAAGGTGGTATTGCTGTTTCCAGGGGTAGGTTGATCCCGAATTTCCTGAGAAACCTAAACACTGATTTCCACAGTGGTTGCACAAGATTGCATTCCCACCAGCAATGGATGAGGGTACCCCTTCCACCACAGCCTCTCCAGCACAGGCTATCATTAGTGTTTTTGACTTTAGCCATTCTGACAGGTATAAGATGATATCTCAAAGTTGTTTTGATTTGCATTCCCCTGATTGCTAAAGAAGTTGAGCATGACCTTAAGTGTCTTTTGGCCATTTGAACTTCTTCTGTTGAGAATTCTCTGTTCAGTTCAGTGCCCCATTTTTTAATTGGGTTAATTAGCATTTTAACGTCTAGTTTCTTGAGTTCTCTATATATTTTGGAGATCAGACCTTTGTCTGTTGTGGGGTTGGTGACAGGGGAGCACGGAACCACAATTCTTATTTAAGGGAGCCACTTTAGGGTTGGCAAGAGACTTGACCCTAGAGTGGCTCCCAGGAGCCCATGGTGATGTCCCCAGTTAGTTCCTTGGGCAGCTGAGGATAGGCAACCTGAAAAGACCCTATCCTATAGCAATACTGACGAATATCTTGAATACACCATAGAACCTTCATCTGGTGATGGATGGAGATAGAGTCAGAGACCCACACTGGAGCACTGGTCTGAGCTCCCAAGGTCCCAATGAGGAGCAGAAGGAAGGAGAAGAT